ACCATCAAAAAGCAGTACTCGATGCCAGTGGTTGAAGAACAACTTTCGTTGTTATCTGGAAATAAGTATTTTACAACGTTAGACATGACATCAGGATATTACCAGATACACGTCAAGGAAGAATCCAAGAAATTCACGGCGTTTATAAAGCCAACCAGGAATACAAAGACTGCTCCGGTTATAACAGCGCTGCGAGAAGTTATGTCGATTTTCGGACAGCCACGAAGAATTGTATCGGATAAGGGAACGGCGTTCACGTCTAAAGAATTCCAACAGTTTGTGGAATACAACGGAATACAACATGTACAAACAGCAGTCCGAACACCAAGAGCCAATGGCCAAGCCGAGCGGATCAACCAGACAGTTTTGAATGCGTTGAAATGTCTAGTAGGTGATACAAAAGAATGGGACACTGAGACAACGACGATACAGTGGAGTATTAACTCGCAGCTGAATGCGACTACAAAGTTCAGTCCAAATGACTTAATATTCAACTTTAGTCTCAGAGATGTCAGTTACAATAGAATTATCCAGGCGGTTGGTGATGAAGAAAGAGAGAATTTCGATGTTAGGGTAATTCAACAGCAGGCTGTTGCTAACATCCAGAAACAAAAGGAAAAATGGAAAGCAAGATTTGACAGCCGTCATTCCAAGCCAACTCAGTACAAGGAAGGCGATTTGGTGGTGATAGACACGGTACCGCAGCCTACAGGAGAATCGCATAAGTTGGATGCGCGGTATAAAGGACCATACATCGTCACGAAAATTATCGGAAACGATCGTTATCTGGTAGAGGATCTGCCGGATTTAAGTTTGAAGCAAAGGAAATATTGTGGTGTTATGTCGACCGATCATATGAAGCCCTGGTGCTATGGTGATCCAAGTCTCGAAATCGAAGATAAAGATGAGTCTGATGATGGTTCGCCCAGGAGGGACGAAGAGTCAGGAGAGGCCGAATTGTCAACTATCAAAATGAGTTTATGAGTCAGTCGTCGTTGAGCATTGACCGAGAGCGGACGCATCTAAGGAGCGTAGAGCATATTACATTTTAAACTTTGTATTTATTCCCAGAATTACTTTTATTTTTTAAATAAAAACCATCTTGACACATTATAGGCTCATAATGTTTTAAAATGAAATTGAATTGAAGTAAAAAAGTGCTATTTTATTTTCATAATTAAGTTCAATTGCTAATAGGTCATCATTGGGGGAAATATTGTCAGCCTGTTTCCAAACATTCCTGAAAATAAATTTCTCCAAAAAGCATATTCAGTTGTCCTATTATTATTGAAATATATGTATTATGGTTGACTATAATATTACGAAATGTAAAAGGAGTAAAGTCTTCGGAAACTTACCATTATTGCTGAGTTAATAAATAAAAAAACAAACATTTTCTTCACAAAGTTTGTTTGAATACATCATTTCGTTCAGTTCTTACACTCTTAGCGTAGAACTATTGGTGGCATAGAATGCTTTGCAATGTTTTAAATAAGTCTTTCATTTTGTTGTCAGCCATAATTTTTTTACACTTATATTTTCTTCAAAATTTTATTCATATATAAAAACTTTATATAATTCTTGACTTATATTTAACATTGAACTTATGTTATAGTGTCACTGTAAAGCTGTAAACCTTTTTAATTGAATACCAATTAAATCTAAAATTAGTTATGACCAAATGACATATTTAAATGCACTCTTGAGCATTCTGGCAAGTATCACATTTAAATTCGAATAAACATACACCAATATATTAACAAATCACATATATATTGTCTATTGTGATATTGAGTAAATGCCAATATAAAAATCATAACACAAATGTATAGTTTTTCTTTATGATAACGTAAAGGTTTAATCAACAAATAAAACTGATTTGGACCATTGATGATAATATCTAGATTTTTCGTACAATTATTAAGCAGTTAAAGAAAACGTTTACAGTTTCAAGGTAGATATTGTAAAACGAAATAAATAAAATGAAAAGCAATCAATATGTGTTTTAAAAAAACCTTAATATTTATATATAAAGAAATGTAATTGCCAAAACAAAAAGAAAAAATGAAACATAGGAACAAAAGAAACATGTAGAAAAGACCATGGCTTCATTTTATACATCATTATGTAAACCTGCATACATATTTCTGCATAACATAGCCTTCGCTAATTAACACTATTCATTAAGTATAAAAACAACAAACATTCAAATTCATAGAAGTCATAAATTATACCAACTCAAACATATATACACATACCATTGAGCCATACTCCTTCTTCTCAGCCATTACACATATTCATTATGCATAAAAATCATGTGTAGAGCACTTGTGAATACCACATACATACAGATGTTCTAATTTTGAATAGGCTCATGTTAAGAAATCGCCATATTCGCACTCAACCACTCTCTATGTCTCTTACACATATACACCCATTTAGAATATAATGCGATGTTTTTGTAGTTTAGAATTAGGTAAAGGACAACCAATATTTTAATAATTGCAAAGCAGACTTCTCCAAGGAAAGATAAAATAATAAAAAAAAAAAACAACAACAAGAACAAAAAGAAAAACAATTGAATAAGGACCAATTCGCTCATAATATTAAAAACATATTGAAACAATTTTACTATAAAAAAAATAAAATAAGAATTTACTATAATTAACTTTGTACGCATAAGCACACTAGTCAACAGTTAAAACTCAAGATTTCTTTCAACCTGACACTGATCGTAAAATAATTTGAAACATATATATTTAATTGTTATCATTCGTCATATTATGTAAAGGCTGTACCCAATGCCATAATTATGCGACCTACAATAGAAACTTCATTGCATTGTACATTGACAAAGCAACAGTGGGCCCAGTTCTTACAGCTCATGAATAATGACTTGAAAAATGTAGCAGGAGTTTCCGGAACAATTTTTTAAAAAACATTTTTCTAGAAACTGCCAAAAGTTCTGATTTGCCACATATAATTTTGAGAGAAAGATTATCACCATCAAATCATCTAAAATAAATTCCCTTTTGTACAATTTGTATGGGATTTCGATGTGCCATTGTTTAAAAAGAACTTTAAATAGTGTCATGCCTTTTTAACTGTTGATTAGTGTTTGATTCTTACAGACAACATTTCAAAAAAATATTTAAAAAAAAACTTCTGTTTTTCAAAAAAGGCAACTAATACTTTTTCGTCAAAAACCAACATGACTCAAAGTCTTTTAAAGCTTTCTCGTAACTAAGTTTTTATTTATTGACTTAATTTTCTTGTTATATATTTTTACAAATTCTAAAATCTCGTAAATTTTCTTGAAAAATGTGTTGGCAACCATCATTAAAACATTTATTTATAAAAAAGCATACATCATTATTCTATAGTTTTTGGAGTATTTGCTATCAGTTTCAAAAAAATTAAAAGTATTTTTACCATTGCTGGTGAAACGTAAAAATGACAAAATAAACACAAATATATCGTCGTCATAAATTCGAAAATGAGTACCAACCAAAACTTGATTCTTCGACCAATAAACAAACATTATTTTTAAAATTCTCATTATTAACGATACTCATCTGGTATGAAATCCTTTTTCAAAGTTATTGCTTACTTTTTGCCTTTATGTCGTCGATATATTTAAATGATTAATTTTTAGATAGTAGTTTATACGTTTACAATATAAAATAATTAAATCCAAATAAAAAACTGAATAAAAAGCTCTAAAGCCTTAGAAATTTGTTTTAAGAATATATAAATATAAAATAAGAAAAACAAATATTTAAACATTGTAATCATATTAAATACACAACATTATTACACATACAAAACATATACAAAAACTACTAAGTAAATGTATTTTAGAATGTCATTTGAAAAATAAATAAACAGTAAACAAAAAATAATTCTGTACTTATTTATACCATATATTTATGTATATATCACAAAGCAGACATTTGATTTTACCGAATATGTTTATTTTCGATTGAAAAGCAATGATGAGTTCCTTGCCAATTCCTTGTTTCCCACAACATCCTCTTACCCAAACAAATTGAATATAGATATGGCATAAATTCCTTACTTTCCTCCAAAGGTAACATCTTAGTGTTGTGTACCCTCGCATTTTTAGGACAGGTTTATTTCGAAATCTTAGTTATAACTTAAAAAAAGAAATAATGGGTAAGTTTTTTTTTTTGACACATCATTAAGATCGCGATAGTCAAGATAAGGCGCAGAAGTTTCTTAATTTGTTATTTAAAACTTTAGGATGTACAGTTACATCTTCGGACTGTCCGTTTGTGTTTGGATACCTTCACACTAAAATTTTCTTATAAGCTTCTCAAATGTTTATATGTTTAAAAGAATTGCTAAGATTACCAAGAAACCAGCCATTCTCGCTATTCTCAACTACCGAAACTTCTCTTTTGTTAACAGACATGATGCAGTGAAAGTTAATAACAATTGTTAACAGATATCGAGTATAAAGTCATATTAATAACAAATATGGCAATACAAAGCCCGTCATTGAACATCAACACGTTTCGAATGTGTTGAATTGTATACCTAAAATATAATAACCCTTTTTAACTTTAAGAGAACGGCTGTTGAATGTTATATATTCTTGCCGGACTCTTAGATTTTTAACGCGATTATTATAGTAGTAATTTTTTTTATTCTATTCTTTTCCCGGCCGTGTTATTTCGCGTTTTGAGGACCATAAGGAGGGAAATTGGCCTGATGTATTCTTTGCCTCAAAGTCGTTAGTACGAAATACATGCGCTTCTAAAAATATAGCGTAAAGTATTGGCAAACGATGGACAATTTTCCATAAACTCAAATACTAACAGAATTGAACATTCCATGTAATAAAACTATTTCAAATTCGAGAAATAGATAGATAAGGTTGAGCTTGTATTTCTTCAATTCACAATGTTAAACATGTTGCTTTTAGTTTTAACACAAAATTCAATTGAACACTTATTCATATCTCATAATATTTTCAGGATATCAATGGAAACAGCTGGACTGCCAATACCTGGTTATCATTACATTGCTCCAAATGCAATCGTTAAGACCCCCATTCATTAAGCCAACCTGCCGGGAGAAGAACATCTGCTGTTTATAAACCCGCTAATAAACGTACATGCCAACGGTACAATATCTACTCTACAGCAATATCTACTCCAACATAACATAAAAGCGAATATTAAAAACCCCAATTTACTTGATGGACATGTGAACGAAACCCAATTTGAAACCAGAGTGTGGAACCCTAAAAGCAATATTAATTTAAATTTTAAACTAATTTAACTAAGACGGCAAACGGAAGATGTTAGACAAGTTTATAATAACATATAATACATACATAAATATGAGTTTAGACCAAGAAGAACAAAGCCACAAGTATATAAAAAATCAATCCAATATTTAAATTATTGTGCAAAAAGAAAGTAATTTTTCATTTTCAAGTGTTATCTTCATAATTATCATTATATTTAAACATTATTTTTTGTTTTGCATATAAACATTTTTGATATGGCATTGAGAGGAACAGTTTGCTTATGAATACAGGTGTGACAGACCAGAATAAAATATTCATAGCAAAATGGCCATCTCAGCCAAGAACCGTAAGAGAAAACAGCAATTAATTTGTAAGTGTAGTCAAAAAAGCAAAATATATATTACAAAAACTAACAAACAAAACCGAAAGAAATACAGCTTAACAAGTGCATAACAAAAAAATAAGAAATCTTCAATAATAATAAACCCAATTAAATGTTTTTAGACTAAAGCAAATAAAAAGAAAAATAAAAACTAAAATCACATAAAACACAACCTAGAATCACAATTTAAAATAAAACAAAACAACAAAAATAATAATTATTAAAAATCTACAGCAAAGCATAACAATAAACAAAACAAAAGTCAAATAAGAGAAATGTGCATTATATTTATGTTATACAATTACTTTTGTCTTAAAAATAAATACATCATATATTTTATTTATATTTACTATACAATGCATACTTATGAAATGTTAACGGGAAATAATGAGAATTTTTATTTTGAAATTTCCTTTTTTATGGAAGGAATAGCTAAAAGCTGATATATAAAAGATGAAGAAGAAGAAGAAAAAAATGTAATGTAAAGAAAACAGCTAAAACGCCTTAAAATAAAAAAAAAAATAGAAATAGAGTTACATACGAAACCTTTTTACATTTTCAATTATATTCAGTAATAGCAATATCGATAAGGTCTATCCCATTTTTGTGTTAACTGTGGCACAATATTTTACCATTTAACCAGAATCCAGACCGTTTAAATTTTTTTGCTGTAGTCAATGAAATATGTCGCCTTACTTCAGGCAAATTAACTTTCTGGATATTTTTGTATGCATATGTTGATAAGAAAAAATTGCATTAAAGAAATATAAACGTTTGCACTTTTTTCTTTCTTAAATAAAAGAGATTTTCGTCGTCGAACAATTTATTTTGTTTGTAAATTTCAATTCAAGTCACAATAACATATTTCAGCATCAGCTTGACCTGTCCATTGAGCATGATTTAACACTTTTGATTTCCTATTTCAAACACTGAGTGAAAAATTGATTGCATTTATGGTACTTGAGATTTTAATATTTGATTATTATAAATCTAATAAAATTAAATTTTATGTCATATAAATATTTTTAATAAACTCTGACGTTTGTATGAAATTAACAAAATCTTTTTTGTTTCCATTTGATCGAATCGGTACTTCTTTTAATCGAACGATGCAAATACCACTCTTTCCCCGTAATATCTTAATATTTTTTGGCATCTTTATTGTTAAATCGTCCCTTGAATTCCCTTCATATGTGACTCTATTTCTAAATATAGCATTAATTAATTGAAGACTACTATAGAAAATTTTTACTTTTTATTTATTAAATGGAAGAGAGGTAATCTTGTCATTCGTTCTTTCTTTCATTGATCTTAGCATTAGTTCGTTTCTCGTCTGGAGTGTTTTCGTTTTGTATCTGTATTAGATCAAAATTATATATTATTTAAATGAAATGAATACTTATTGTTGGCATTTTTGTTTTTAGAAAATCGTCTGTTTTTACCAAATTTATGTTTCTATTGTTATGAATTTATTATATTAAATGAATTAGAACAAATTAAACAAACTGAATTGTTAAACCAAAGTCTGATTTAATACAAAATTATTATATTAAACATTTTTAAATGAGAATTGTTAGTTATTTGAAAACACTCTGTTATTTTTTTTTTTCTTTATTTAAAATGCTAAATTTGTTTCCGAACAATTTTATTTGTAGCAAACTATTTTCAAAAGATAAAAAACAATTTTATTTAATTCTAGTTTTAATTCAAATATTTTATTATAAATATTAATTTTTATATCCATTTTCATTAATTATCTACAACATAAATATTCATCTACAAACATAGACCCACACATGCATTCATACATACATATATATTTTATTTCATTATACAACAACAAAATATTTACTAAAATACAAACAAGAAAACATATTTAAAAGAAAAAGCCCAAAGAGCTTATGCGAAGATAAAAGACTTTCTTAATATTAATAATGCAAAATAACAAACAACAACAATATTAGACATATGCATTCATGCAAAAATAAGAAAATATATATACATTTAACACATTATAATTAAGAATTAAAATGTATTGTTTTTGTTGAAACAAATGAAATGTGTACAACAACAACAACATACGTTTGACACTGCTTATGTTTGGTTCAAATCTTAAATCCACGGTTGAGGACTGTCGATTGAAATTATAAATAAGTCGTTCAAATAATTGGAAAAGAGTTGGAGGACAATTTATAGTTTCATGTGAAGTTAACATAATTTAAAGCCAATTTTTTATTTTTTTTATTATCATAAAATAAAATTTAGAAAAGCAATTTTGAATATTAATAACAATTTTCCAAAAACATAACAGTTTTTTTATGGTATTTAATCGAGTCTTACCTTTTTCCAATGCCCACAATTCTTTAATACAAGTCCTCCACAGTCTTCTATGTAATGCGGCTTTTTCAAATACTTGTATTTCTTATATTTACGTCGACCGTATACACGTTGTTGTTTGATATTTTGAACCAAACCATCGTCATCATCACATTAAACACAACAAAGGCTTAGTTTTATCGAAGTTATGAAAGTTATAATTTTATCTTTATTTTAATTTTAGATTTTTTTTGTCACTTAGATATATTTGTTTAGTTTTTATATTTATTATTACTACTTGATTATATTTTAACTTCAATAAATTAATCAAAAACTTTAATTTATGCTTACTTATTTAAACAATAATAAATAAAGTTTCGAATAAAACAAAAGGCGTTTAATTTATTTAATAACAAATGTTTTTAGTTTCTTTAAATTTATTAATTATTAACTTATTGCGAATATTCAACTCCCGTTTTTCTTATCTCTCGAATAATCACACATATCTCGAACAGAAAACAAATATAAACGAAAACATATTATTGGAAAGACAGAACAAAACATTTTTGAAGTATGAAAAACATATCTCTCGAATATATAAAATGCAAAAAAAAAAATAATAATAATAAACTCATTATATTATCCAAAATAGGCCGTATAAGATAAATATAACGAATCACAACCACGTTTTCAACAACAAGCCAAACAATATGAAAAACAACTAAAAGGAAATCATCACAGTTTATAGCTGCACTTATTTGAAATTTGATGTCACACATATTATTTACAATCCTAGTTTCTTCCATCGCTAATACTCAAATTATTTTTATTTTAACGTTCTTTTTCTCAAAGGATAATAAAAAAACCACATAACTGAATAAAATTGGCATATTACAATTAGGCACATAACTTGTATTAGGTGTATTTTAAGAAAATTAAATTAAAAAACACAAGGAATTGAAATGGAAACATTTATTAATGAAAATAGTTTAAATTTAATAAGCAAATGTTTTGCTAAATGTGTGAAATACACAACCACAAACAAATTTAGTCATAAGAGCTTTATTAGATTTTTTCTTTAAATGAGACAAACACAACATAGAAGTCCCAAAAAGAGAACATTTTTTGATGTGAAATTTTTTGCTTAAAACATGTTAGCTAAAGAAAATGAACTCATTCAATGTTGTTTGTTCTTTTAAGTATTAGACAACAACAATTTGTTGTTAATAATAACAACTATGTTAATTTCAATATACAAACTCACGCTGCCATTGGTGGGTGTACTGTGTGCGCAGCCTTTAGTTTAATACGTGTAATGCTAAGGAAAATATATAATTATGAAAAAGTACGAATTTTTGGTTGATGAAACATGTATTTCGCAAATTCAGATGCAAGAGTTTGACAACCATGAGCCGGGTAATGTTATAAAACATTAAAGCTCAGTATGATTATCATAAGTACGATAATTTCGATGGCAAACGTAATTTGCGCACATACTGAAGAAGTGTATATATCTCGATCAATTTCGTCAAATGTCTTAAAAACCAATTTTCATAATAAATATATGGTAATAGTTGCAAAGAATTATTATCACCAATTTTTGTTTTGTGAAAATGAGTGTTTTTGACAGGTGTTTTTATACACATTTTATAAAAATAAAAATGTTAAAAGTTGTAAAGAAATTATGAGTAAAAAAGCTTTAGGGCCTGGTTCTACAATCAGTAATAAGCAAAGCTCAAGTAAATATAACATATGGGTTAAAAAGTTTCAGAGTGGTTCAGTATATGCCTTTATATGTTTGAAGACATCTTCCTAACAGTTTACTGTTGTCAATATATTGGTATATATAAAAAAGGTATACACCTATCCGAAATAAGAAACATAACTTTTACTGTTTTGCATGGTTATTTCTTATTTAAAAGCGGAAAAAAATAACTATCACTTTAGAAAATGTCAGGAAACTAACAAAATCTCGTTTTAGTCTGGATTGTAACATTAAAATCTCTTGAAAAAATATATTGCCACATAATTTGATCGATGTTATGAAAACGAAAATTCCGGTGACCTAGTAAATCTACTGGATACTTAAAATTATTTTGAGGGACATAGTCATCGATTGTTTAACTAAGTTTTAAGGAGACACCAATTTCAAAATTGGCACTTTCTGGTGCATTCGCAGGCTGAGGCATCAATATTCATCCTTTAAGTTAGCCTTTGGAATGTTGAAAGTTTTATTTTGAAATTAAAACCTTATCTGCAATGGATACATCGATTGCAGTTATATGAGGCACGAAAATGCTTAACGGAACGTAATTTCATGTTTTAAAAACTTGACATAAGAAACTAATTGCCTCCCAAAAATCAGCTATTGATCTGAAATATACCTGATACTTTCCAACCCATGTGTTAATATCAAAAGCAAAATATAACATTAAACTTATGAAAACAATAAAAAACAAATATTAAATGATTACAGGTATAAAATAAATATTAAAAATTATTACTATAATTAATAAAAAACACTTAAAGTACAGAGAAAATAACAAAAGAAAATACAAAGTTTGTTCTTGCATATGGAATAAGCAAGAAACCAAAATATATATCTACATATACATTATAAATTTATTTATGTATTATTATTATTTATATTTACATACACATATGTATACACATATAAAAATATATATTTCATTTATTATTATTATTATTATTAAATCTAGTAATGTGAAGGATCAAATATTTAAACAATTAAAAATAAAACATATTTATTAGTTCTAGTTAAAAGAAAATGAAAAAATTAAAAGATATAAATAAATAAAAGACAAAATGTCAAAGGCGAGGATATTTTGTGATTTTTACCGACAAATAGTTCGCTTTTGATGGATACTTCAAAACAATCATTTTGAAAAAGAGCAAAAAACCCAAATAACAACATTATAAGAAAAGAAAACCATATTTTAAAGGTAGTATAATAAAAATAAACCATATATTAAAAAAAATAAAATTAAATAAATGAAGTGTTACGTATTTAAAATATTTAGCTAAATTTTCTTTTTTTATTATTATGAATTTATATTGTATAATTTAAGGCAAAATAAATGCATCATATTTATATATACATCAACAAAACCATATACATTCATTCATAATAAAACTATATATTTAAATGAAATATTTACTGCAGAAAATGTATCGTATCTTGTAAAAATGCAAGCGATATAAAAATAACCCACAAACAAATGAATTTCTACAACCGAAACAAATACTCAATTCTACCCCAACATATGCATAGGATTTGAATGGACCAATAAATTTTGATAACGATTTCATTTCAAACAATCGTTTGGTTTTCAAAAAATAACACGCCAGTACATAAACATTGATAGAAAGGAAAGCGCAACGAAAGCCGACGTAATTGAGCTGTCTTGGAACTACCGCCGTCATAGACGGAATGAAAAAAAATGAGTTTCGAAACATATTAATGTTTTTTTTGCCTAACCACCTCAAAATAGGCTTTATTTTGTAGGCATTGAAAACAAAACGATACAATTTTCGTTATTGAAATTGAGTTGCGTCTCATCGAATCTGTTGTCTTGTATAGACTGCAATGGATAACATTCACGGAAAGTATTTACAACCACTACAAAATTGCAGAGAAAATGTTCCAGAATGGTTTGGGGGCCAGATAGGAATACAAAAACAAACGAGTAAAACCACAAGAAAATGCTACTGCAGCAAATGTAGCAAAGCAAAAGGGATAATAGAACTCCAACGTGAGATTTTATTCACAGCGACTAATGGAGCTCGTATAATTTAAGTTCGCCTTAGTATTCATATTAGATGTCTTCAAAAAAAATTCTAATTTTTTAGAGATAGTTTGCTTAAAAAAGATAAAATACAATTAACACACATACACACAGACAAACAAAATATATACTTACATATACAAATGAATTGTACATTGCAAATGGAAAAATACGTGTAAAAAAGCAATTGTAAATGGTGCCTTAATTACGGAGTTACTTTCCAGCAAATTCCAACATACAAACATGACATACATTTGTTGATACATGCATGATTATGTTGACATGTTCTACTTCGACTTTGACAAATTCCTTTTTACTCCCTTTCCTTATCCAGCCGTTACACTCTTTTTGATGGTATCCATTTGGTTTACGCATTGAACTTGACCGCTGTATATTTCCCTATTGTCCTTTTGGGACCAAAGAAACTATACAACACTCCATTATTGAATGAAACTTGAAGACAAGTTTTTGCTGAACATATTGCCAGCCATACTTCACTCCATTGTTGTCCAGTAACCGATTATCCCTTTATCACTACAGATGTTGATATTTTGGTGTAGCATTTTATTCAATTATGGTTTTAACTTGTCTCCAAAAATTCTACCCAAACCAGCTTCGCTAAGCCCAAACCATTAAAAAAGAAAACGCTACAACATTTGTACTGTATGCTTCTAGTATGCCTTTCAGAGAAAACAATAACAAGTCTAGATCTTGTGTTTTGATGCTTTTGCAGAGATCGAGGTTATTCTTGTTATAATCGATAAATTATTTTTTCAATTTCTGTTTTCGATTTCAAAGAGAAGGCTATCAAGTAAAATTTTGTCAGCTATTGCTCGGCCGTATGTACTCAGACTCTTGAAAAGGATATTTAATTAACGGGATTAAATAAAATTTACAAACAGGAAAAAGTGTTTTAATTTGATGTAAAATCCATAATGATCGAGCAAGTATCTCGGTAAGGGACTATTACATAAACGTAGATAAAAAAGATGGGAAAAGAATTTTATTCACCATAAAAGTTGAATACATTAATTTCAATGAATGTTACCCAAATACGCGTTGCTTATGTTCAATATAATTGGTCAAAAATAAAGATAATTTTGTATTCATTTGTTATGTTTTTGGTCAGCTGTTTCGTGGTCGAAATCCAAGCAATAACCTGAATATCTTATTTTAAAAGTAATAAGAATTCAACATTATATTGTACATGAATTCCTTTAAAAATTGAAATTTTATTTAGCTGTTTATTTGGACAATTGGCTGTTTGTCCCGCTTCAGGAACCGGCCAGGGCTGCAACTAAATTGAAACTAGCTCTAGAATTACAGCAGTTTAGCTCCTAAAAAGCAGCACGGCAGCTAATGCTTAGCTAGATTTTTTTTCAGTGTTGCTCATAAACTTTTACAAGGTATAAAATACGATTAAACTCGATTTTTTATACATTTGATATTTTCATATACAATGCGCAAATATTGCTGAAGCCCTTTAATTAAAGTATATTTTAGTTCAATAGGTATATTGTTTTATTAAAGTATA